GGAATTGCTGCTCTCTTGTCTCTTTGAAGGTTTGTTCTTCTTCATTGAGAAAATTTGAAGCTGGAGGTAAATGTGTATATGAACTTTGAAGATTTGACTTCAATTTTGATGAACTTTGTTGTTCTTCATTGATGAACTTCAACTGGAGTAAAATAGGGAACCAACTTTGTTGAAGGGTTTCTTCAATTTTCTTTGAATTTAGAGGGAGAATTTGGTTTCAGAAGATGGAAAATAGTAAAAAGAACGTGGGTATGGGTAAAACGTGGGTGTGACTGAGGGGTTAGGAGAGAGAAACGTGCAGATTCCTTTATTTAAGGAGTAAAAAATGTACAATTAATTATACCCTTAATTAATTATAGTATAGAATTGGTAATTTGGTATACTAAGTGTAATTAAATCAAACCTTAAACATTGAGGGTAATAAGGTTTCCTATGTGGCATAGGAATGTAAAAATACGACTAAGAATATTAATTAGTCCGTTGAAATATTAGTCCATGCCGACACCAACTTATAGACTGTCTGGCCAAGCTTTTTTTTGGGGCCAAAAGTGGTTTTTTTTTTTACTAAAAGCAATTTTGGCCAAAAATTGAGGCGTTTGCCCAAGCTTTTGGAAGGAAAAAAAGTGTTTTTGAGGAGAAGCAAAAACAGTTTTGAGGAAGCAAAAAAAAATAGTTTCTCTCCAAAAGCACTTTTCTGAGAAGCACTTTAAAGAAAAATATACTTAAAAGCAGTTTTCAAAAGCTTGGCCAAACACTAATTATTGCTCAAAAGTGCTTTTCAAATTAATTAGCCAAACACAAACTACTTCTCAACAGAAACACTTTTAAAAAAATACTTCTCAAAATAAGCTAATTTTAGAAGCTTGGCTATTAGTCTCATAAAGAATACGCGGTGATTACAGAATACTAACATCCATTGTTGGAGATTAGTCCATGAAAATATAAATGTTTATACGAAATGATTTAAAGTAGAGTTATTTCATAAATAATTACAACTTAAATAGAACATAACATTTTATTGGATAAGAATATGAGATTCAAAAGTTACGGTTTTATCTCCCTTTTCTAATGACTATTCTAGAAAGTATTTTTTTGGAGTTTGTTTTCAGGTAATGGCTCCAAGAAAATATTTTTGTCATACCAATACATTTTACTACGTTTTTTTTTGTGTGTGTTGTTGAATTCGCACAGAACAAATACCTTGAATTTTGTAATATTTTGAGGAGGATTTACGGAACGAATGAGATGAAAGAATGCATGGCGATGTACCAACGATAAATTATGATATAAACATGATGGATCGGCTTTGTTGCTTCTAATTCGAGGACTTTTGTCGTTTTAATATTCATCAATTTTAGAAACTTTATTTTTTTTAAACTTTACTTTATAACTTAAATCCATTTTAATATAGTACTATCTAACAATATAATTTTAAGAAATTTATATTCACTAATATAAGGTACACGTGCAATGCGTGTACCCTAAAACTAGTATATATAAATAATAGTAAATATGTATTTTGAGAACCAAACTATGCTAACAACCATGACTAAGTTTAAGTGCAACGTGATATCTAAACTTACTTAAACATTAATTAAAATATGATCTGCTCCTTTTATAGAAATAATATTCTTTTTATACTGCACTAATTAATTTTCTTCCACAAGGGTTTCTCACTACCATTAAAGCTATTACCTTTTTGTTTTGGTACAAAATAAGTGTCCATTTATATAATCAAGAAGGAATTAATTTTATTTTTCCAAAATTTGCCTTTATTTACATATTCTAATGTGTCAAGGTAACAATTAATTAAGGTTAATTTAGTGAATACATTTTTTTTCTCTAGAAGTTCGTATATCCTTAATGAGTGTGTCAAAGATAAAATTATCACTTATTGTGGAACGAGAAAGTACGGTATAAAAATATAATGTGGTAGAAAAAAGTATACACATTGATAACTTGTCAAAGAAGTGGATCATTGAAACATGAAACAACATGTAAAGGGAAAATAGTAATTAAGACAAAGTTTTTCAGTAGTTCCATAAACAAATTTGATACACACGACATTTCTTGCACTTTCTAAAATATTTTATACTCCATGAATGTCCTGTCATCTATTTCAACTAAATTTTCTCAACAATCAGGTGTAAGCGATGGCATTTTATTTTGTTCATCATCTTACAACCTGCTCATTGGGAAAGTAATTCTTATTAACTCGTCATTGCGAGAAAGAATATATTCCACTAACATACTTGAAACATGGGAAATACATCACATAATAAGCAGAAAGTGAGCTACCTATTATCGGCCATATAATCAAAATAATTTGTAAAGTTCTTTTTTCTTTTTGTGGTGCATTATGTTAAAATTTCTTATAAGATTTTAAAGTACCGAATAATTCAAGTAGATTTTCAAATAGAATCAATTTTAATAGCAAAAGAAAATAAAATCTTAATGTTATGCTCCACTTTGCACAAGAAAGTTTTGGCGAGAGAAAAAAATTAATCTAAAATATTTTATTATTTAATTATTAACTAACCTTAAAATATTTTATCATCTTTCTTTTCTCCAACGTTGAGAAGTAAATTAAGTCGAAGTTGATGCAGGTAAAATACAAAATTCTAAAAAGAGCCAGGCATATAATTCTTTACAAAGCTAGACACGTACCTCGACAACCTAAAAGCTTAATGAAGGTGCTTAATTGCATCAGCTTTTCAAAACTGAAATTTTCATTAAATCAAAGGAGAAGTTATTGTAGAGCCATCATTTTTGTGGACCCCGTGTAAAGCAGCTACTGCCACGTGCAGAAGCTTTAAATTAATGGATTCCAACAGATGGGCAAAATAGTCCGGACATGCATAAGTAAATGTTACCAACACAGAGTAAACCAATCAAAATTAGACAAGAAAGTCACTTGTCGACTTTGTCCCTGAATGACGAGAAGCATACATGACGACCCTAAGCTCCTCTAACTCCCCCTTATTAATAGTAGGAAAATAATAATAATAATAATAATAATAATAAAAATAATTTCCTCACCACTTCTCCTGGTTTTTCCATTTCTGTACAAACATATGTAAATCCCTCAATTTCACTCTCAATCTCAACTCCAATGGACGACATATCGATCATTTCTCCATCTCTCCACCAGAATCCGAAGAACTCCCCCGTGACCACCCAAGGGTATCACTGTAATTTTTCTTTGTTCCGTGTTTCCGAGGCCTTGAAAACCTCGCTTTTATTTGCCTCGATTTGCGTGCGCAGTCCGGGCGCGTAGCCGCAAAAGCTTTTATGTTGAAATATGCGAATTATGTGAGAAATTTGATGAATTTTGATATTAATATGCATAATATTGACTTCGGTCAACATTTTAGGTAAACGGACCCGGACCTGTGATTCGACGGTCCCGGAGGGTCCGTAGAAAATATGGGACTTGGGCGTGTGCCCGGAATTAAATTCCGAGGTCCCAAGCCCGAGAAATGAATTTTTGTGTGAAATTGTTTTCTGAAATTAATTAAGGAAAATGAAGAAGAAAATTGATCAGAAAACTGTGGTATCGGGCTTGTATTTTGGTTCCGACGCCCGGTACGAGTCTTAAATATGTTTTAAGCACTATCTGTAAAGTTTGACTAAAAACGGACGTCATATGACGTGTTTCGAACTTAAAATGCGGAATTTGAGTTTTATGAAAGTTGAAAGAAAATCATGTGTTTCGAGGCTTGATCCTATGTATATGATGTCGTTTTGGCGATTTGATCGCACGAGTAAGTCCGTAAGGTGTTTTCGAGATCATATGAATGTTTGGTTTGGAGCCCCGAGGGCTCGGGTGAGTTTTGAGTGGGGCCCGGGAGGTCTTAGACATTAAAAATGCAAGTTCATATATTGCAGGCCTCAGTGGGGCCGCGACCATTTCCGCGCTGGCAGCCACGCGGCCGCGGTGCTTTTCTGTANATATTGTTTGAAAGAAAGCAGGAAAGGTATTTTAAATATTTGGCTTGCCTAGCTCCGATAGTAGACGCCATCACGACACCTTATGGTGGGAAATCCGGGTCGTGACATCCCTCCGCCTTCTTCAACGCCACCCTCCTCCGCCGTCATTCTCCGGTGCTCTGATCTGGTAACCCAATAACCTTCCAAATTTGAAAATAATAGTCTAAACTGTTTACTGGAATGCTGAAAAAGTATTTTTCTCTTCCCTACCTTCGTCTCTCAACAGCGTTAAACCCCCTCCAAATCATGCTCTGTACAAATCTTTGCCAATCCAAACATGCGTCCAATGTTGGAAAGTCTAGAGTTGTTTTTTTTTAAAATAATTATAGTTGACGAATTATTATGATGAAATGATCTATTGATGATTGACCTATGGATTGAATATGCAGAAATGCTAAGGAATTGGTTGAGAATATCTATGAAAAGCATAATTGAGGGAACCTTGTATTAGCCAATACATTAGGTAAAGTGCATTGTGCCTTTCCATTACTTGAATTAATTAAAACAATGAAGTTGATAGGTTGTAACTCTAAACTATTTGTTGCTTTATAGATTCGTTGACGAATTGAGTAACATGGTTGATCGGAAGTTGGACCTGAGTAATTGGCATCTGGAGGTGAGTGATGACTTGAACTATGATTTTTTCCCCCATAAAAGAGCATGATTTGGACATATAATTTTTAATTGAGCTTCTATGTTCGACAGAATTGAGTTTTTCTGTAAAGATATATGCATCTGATATACTTTGGCATGTTGGGACAAGTTTGAGATTCGTAAGTTGATACTTGAAATATGTATAAAGTATGTCTTACGAGATTGTTGATATGATATGAACTTATCTTATTTGAGATTACTATAGTAATTTTTTTCATATTTCATTGAGTTACATTAAGCTGATGTTAACTGCATATTAACTTTTGGATTGCGACTTGGTGATGAGATTGGCCTCCAAGCTGAGTCGCTATATATGTGTCATGGTATATTTATCTGAACTTATGATCCAAATGTTATGTTCAGAAATGCTGAAATGTTTATACAGATGCTGAAACATATTACAGAAAGCCTTGCCTTATATGTGGATAAGCAAGATAACAGTTGAACAATTAAAACAATAGAAAATAATTTTTCGAGTATAATCCCAAAAACAATTGTCTTCAAACCAATTTCAAACATTCAAAAAGAAACTAAACAGAGAACACTGAAAGTTGAGATAAGCTCTCATTGACAGTGCTGAAATACTCTGTATAGACAACTTCGATTAGTACTTCTAAAATCCAACTGCGAATGTGTCAAAGTACTTGGCAAAAATTCCGAATCTAAAATCCATTAATAGCTGCTTCTCCTGTTTCACCTAAATCCAAAGCTATTTAATATTCATAATTAGTCTTCAAGAAAATACAAAAAACTATGAATTACCTGAAATGACTAATTATAATCTTCATGACAGTATCAAGTGTCAACCAAATAATAGTTTTCCAATAAAACTGATTACCAAAATAAAAAGGATTTCCAAAAAACTCGGGTTGCTTTTTCACGAGATGTTTTTCACTAGGAGTAATTTTCTAGTGTTTGCCTATCAGAACATTTTCCAACAAAATGGGGAAAATGACTTTCTCCTTAAAACTATCTTAAATTTTACCTTCTTATTAGTTGCTCCAATTACTCAGACATTTTTATTAATCTTAATTAGCATATAAATATGTCATTAAACAGTTTTCAATTTGATAATATTATTATTAATTTTTAATATATACGAAAAATACTTTGCATTCACCAACTAACAACAACCCAGTAAAATCGCACAAGTGGGGTTTGGGGAGGGTAGAGTGTACGTAGACCTTACCCCTACCCCAAGGGGATAGAGAGGCTGTTTTCGATAGACCCTCCTCAAGTACACGAAAAAGACAATATATCAGTACCAACAACAGAAAACATAGAAATAATAACAGCATATCATAAGTACCAGAAAATAGATGAAAAACAATAACAGTAAAACGTAAGAAAGGCTCGGTACTATGAAAAGTGAAAGAAAAGTGTGGACACAATAATAACCACTAGCAGTCTAGAACACAACCCTATCAAACTAGCAGACTAGCTCCACTACCTTCACTAACCAACCGGCGAAAAACATATTTTAGGAAAATGACTTATGTTATACCAAGCACAGTCTCAGTCTTAATTAATTTATTTATAAACAATTACTTATAGTTGATATTTTAGTAAGTTGATAATATAAAAATTCTTTGAATTGTCATGGATATACAAGTAAATGTTTATAAAAATGTCAAACAAAACATCTTGTTGGATCATTTTTATTCATTAAATTTAATGGTCATTATGGATAAGAATTAATTTGTAAATAAAATATACCTCAACAGGAATTGACTTCAACCTCTCCAGGATAGCAACGTCTTTCATTCTCTTGGGAATCTCCTTGAGCTTTGGACAGTCATGGATACCAAAGCCTTTAATCAGAGGCATAGCATTTGTGGCTAAATGCCATCTTTCTAGGTTCCAAAGACTATCAAGACGAAGGAACTCCAGTTGACTAAAGCTGTAACCTTTGCAAGTTATTTCTTTTCCTTCATAAGCTTCCACTAGATCGAGATTCCTTAGGTTTGGCAACATTCCCAGCATAGGCATAGGATCTTCCATGAGTTTCGAATACAAAAGGACCACCATTGTGATGGAATTTGGAAACTGAGGCAGTATTTCTATTCTCCCATCTAACCACAATTCGTGTAGATTTTGACAAGTAGTAAGATATTCAAGGGCTGGGAATGATTCACCACTTGCACAACCCAATATGAGAGTGCTAAGGTTTTTCAAGCTGCTAATGTTATTCAAGGAGTAAGATTTCTTAATATTACGCATGTCTAATTCTCCAAGATTGACTAAATCAACAGGGTCAAAATCTTTCCACTGATCACAACAAATGTATTTAAGAACTTGAAGGCTAGTGAGTTTGCTAAGTTGCAGAGGTGGTGAATAGAAAGCAATTAAATGTCTCAGCTTAATTAGGTTAGATGTCTCGGGAGGTAGTGAGC